CCATGCAAACCATTGACATCAAGACACTGGCGAGGCTGGCCGTGCTCGGGGTCGCCACCTCTTCTCCCACCTCTTCTCCCACCTCCGTCAGGCGACGTTTTGGTAGACTCTTCTCACCCCCATCCTTATCAGAGGTAGGATTAAGTCAACTGTCTCCACACTGCATCCACAGGGGGAGCTGGATCCAGCCCAGTTTCTGGAGACAGAAAAAAGGAAATTTTAAGAAAAAATTTTGCAAGGTGTGAGAGCTGCCTTTTAGTGGGCAACGAGCGACATGGGAAAGGACTGGGCTGGGCTCCAGCGGGAAATTTGTGGAGAAGCCTCGTGACTGTAAAAGGAGACCGAGGACGGAGCTGTTAAACCCTGCACGGGCTGGGGAAGGGGCCAGAGGCTCAGAGCGAACACCCTGCCCTGCAGCTGCAGAGTCTGCGTCGTTACTCGCCCCAGTGCTTTGGGCTGCGTGGGCAAGGCTTGTCCCCATGTGGCGGTGGTGGGACAGGGGAGATCTGGAGCGGTAAGTGCCCAGCAGAACTGTTGGATGTGACCGAAATAATGAGGCCTTCCAAAAGGAGCTGAGCCCAAGGTCTGGTCCGTCATGCAGCTTTGTCAGAGGAAGCAGCTCGCAGAGGTTCGTCGGTGGAAACTTGTGCCAAGCTCAGCCAGCTCCACCGGGGAAGAGTGGGAAGACCTGGGAAACCAAATGAGACGGGGACTTGCAGAAACCGAAGCCTGGTGGCTTCAGCCCGGGTGGCAGGGAGAGGCTGTGGGGGCACGGAGGCGCTCGGCAGCGGCATGGCTGGTGATGGGCAGAGGCGGTGGGCCTGGGATTGTCCCGCAGGGTTTCTTTTTCCAGGGGAAAGGAAGAATTTATTATGTATTTTAAACAGCCCCCTCGGCTGGGTGACAGGGAGATGGGCGACCAGGCGACGGGGACCGGCAGCAGCGTCCTGGCGCTGCGCACCGGGGCGGTGCCCGCCAACACTTTGAGACTCCTCCTGATGGCAGTGTCGCGGGAGAACCTGCGCCAGGAAGGCGTTAGGGCAGTAACCTGTAGCTCGTGTTTTGCTCTTGCTTCTGTTTCCCCATCGGGGTCTCCTGAAAGCCTCTCCGAGAGGAGCCGGAGGCTTTTGGCTTCAGATGAGACACCAGACCTTGTGCCTCCCCTGGTCACCTCCAGACGTTTCCAGAGCTGGAGACAGGAAGGAACTGAGAGCCCGTTAACGGGGAAGCAGCAGGCGTTTTATGGAGGAGGTTGTTTGTGTCTCTCATTAACAATAACACTTGAAACGCTGCCGCATCTCAAGGAGCAGTTGGGTCACCCTGTCACAGCACCTGTGTTTTGCCGGCTCTCAAATCTTACCCAAGTGCTCCTGTCCGGACCAGATGATCTCAGCTGGAGTATTTTAATCCCCAAAGAGCCAGCGGGGTCATCAGTCCTTCAGCAGCTGCAACGGCCGGTGAGGGACGCGGTCCTGCTGGTGACCTGAGCCTGTGACGAGACAGCAAAGTCCAGGCGGGCCAGGAATAGCTCACAGCATCCATCCCTGCCTCTTCAGCTAAGCATGAGAGATGGCTTTATTGTCTCTTGTTCTTGAAACCTCTAGACCTTGTGCTACGCAGAGAGGTTTCAAAAGCACAGCCTCGAGGGTCAGAACAGCAAAGGCAGGACAGCAAGGGAAGGACCTGAAGAATGGGGCTGTTTTGTCTTTGATTGGCTTTTCCACGGCAGCCGATGGCTGCAGCTGCTCCGGGCGGGCGGCTCGGGGGGGGGACAGCCGTGCTCCCAGCCCATC